CTGTGAGTGAATTGCGAAGAAGTCTCAGGCGGAAGCCCCCTCCCTAAGGCGCCCGCACTTCATGTTCGAATCCGAGGCGGGCCATCGGAATCCTGTAACTGTCATCACTTCTGGGCTTCTCAGGCCTGAATATGGAGGAAGTATCAGGCGGGAGCCTCGTCTGTGAGTGAAGTGTGAGGAAGTCTCAGGCGGGAGCCCCCTCCCTAAGGGGCCCACATTTCATGTTCGAATCCGAAGCAGGTCATCGGAATCCTGTACCGTCGTCACTTTTGGGCTCCTCAGGTCTGAATATGAAGGATGTCTCAGGCGGGAGCCTCGCCTGTGAGTGAATTGCGAGGAAGTCTCAGGCGGGAGCCCACTCCCTCAGGGGCCCGCACTTCATGTTTGAATCCGAGGCGGGTCATCGGCATCCTGTAACTGTCGTTTCTTTTGGGCTCCTCAGGCCTGAATATGGAAGAAGTATCAGGCGTGAACCTCGTCTGTGAGTGACTTGTGAGGAAGTCTCAGGCGGGAGCTCCCTCCTCAAGGGGCCCGCACTTCATGTTCGAATCCGAGGCGGGTCATCGGCATCCTGTAACTGTCGTCACTGTTGGGCTCCTCGGGCAAGAATCTGGAGGAAGTATCAGGCGGGAGCCTCGTCTGCGAGCGAAGTGTGAGGAAGTCTCAGGCGGGAGCCCCCTCCCTAAGGGGCCCGCACTTCATGTTCGAATCCCAGGCGGGCCATCGGACTGCTGTGACTGCCGTCACTGTTGGGCTCCACAGGCCTGAATACGGAGGAAGTATCAGGCGGGAGCCTCGTCTGTGAGTGATTTGCGAAGACGTCTCAGGCGGCAGCCCCCTCCCTAAGGGGCCCGCTTGCCCCGACCAGGGGGAAGGGGGGAGCACATGGAGAAGAAGGAAGGGAAGGATGACGACGGTGAAGGGATTGGGAGAGGGCGACGATGATGAGGAGGTGGAGAAGGAGGAGGAGGATACATAGAAGGAGGAGGAGAATAAATAGAAGGAGGAGGAGGAGGAGGAGGAGAGGGCATAGCAGATGGCGAAAGGAGGGTGTCTGCCATGGCGGTGAGGAAAGGGCTAAGGGCAAGCGGAACAGATTCTCATGCGGGGTCTTTCCGTCGGAATCATGTTTATGCCACTCTTTGTTCCCGTAGAAATGGGCATATGGAAACGAAAAGACATGTCCGGGGCCAGCGACATGAGCGTGGTCAGGGACAGCGCAATGATGAGCTCACCCACGATTGCATACAAACCGTTTGAGCTTGGCCATCTCTGGAGCTCCAATGGTGCTTGAACGGCGTGGCATGGGCCAACGAATTCAGCCTGCGACTGCATGCGGACTTGTTTCAGTTTGGGCCTTCCGTGGAGCTTTTATGGGGGCTGAAAAGCATGGCGGAGGCGAGAGAAATGAATCCACGACTGCATCGGACTTTTTTACTTGGGACGTCTGCGGGGCTCCTCCGGGGAATGAAAAACGTGCCAAGGGCTAACGAACGAAACGAACCCGCGACTGAATGCGGACTCATTCGCGAGGCAGGGGCCAGCGAAATGAGCCCACGACTGCATACGGACCTTTTCGTGTGCGCCTTCTGTGGGGCTCCTGCAGGGCCTGAAAAGCGTGGCAGGGGAGAGCGACATGAGCGAGCCAGCGACTGCCCGCGGACTGCTTCAAGTGGGCCTTCTGTGGCAGGGGCGAGCGACATGAACCCACGAGAGCATGCGGACTTTCCAATATTGGCCTTCTGTGGAGCTCCTAAGGGGCTTGACAAGCGTGGCCGGGCGAGGGACATAAGCCCAAGACTGCATGCGGGCGTCTTCATGTAGGCCTTCAGTGGAGCTCCTATGAGGCTTAAAAGGTGTGGCAGGGGCACGCCAGGGCAGAGGCAGGAGTGAGGAGGGGGAGGAGGACAGGGAGAGGACGCGGGGTGCTGCTGATTCAAAGCGAGGACCCAGCACAACGCGATGGTTGGGAAAACATGGCTCTCAAACATTCCAACATGTCGGAGGCATCTCTTGGAAGCTTTTCGGGCCATCATGGCTCCAAAATGGTTTTAAAACGCCCAAGGTGGCCGCACAGATGACTCAATCTACCCCAAGACGGCTTTAGATTGCACACACGATGCCTCCAAAAGGCCCTAAGACGCCCCCATGACGGCCTCACGTGGCCACAGAGCCCCCCAAAAAGGCCTAGATTTCTTCAGAACCAACGGAAATCAATACTGATTGCTTTCTCGCCTTCTCGCTTTTGATGGACGCCAGACGGCCCCAAGATAGCCCCAACATCGCCCGAAAAGCGCCCAGGAGCGCTCCGAGACGCGACCGCTGGGCCTCCAGAAGGGCAGCGGTAAGTGAGAACCCCCGGTCTTTGATCGATGGTCTCCTAGATGGCCCCAAGAGGCACCCCTGACCCCCCGAACAGGGCCCCAAGTGAGCCCCAAAATGGCCCCAGCAAGGCCTCCAAAACCTCCAAAACGGTCCAACAGGGCCCCATGATGGCCGAGGTCAGCTGCCAAGAGGCCCCCATATCGAAAGATCTGCGAAGGCATGTACGGTTAACTCCTGGGCCCGCTCAGGCGGATCCCGACCTTGGGTGTGATGACTCCCCTCCTCTACTGCGTGCTCCAGCGATTCCATCATCAATGCAACTCGCCTGGGCATCGTTGCTGGATGGGCTGGTGAGGGCACACAACGCGTCAAGAATCCAAAGGGGAAGGCAACGAGAGGGGAGCGGGTGCTTACGCTGCGATTTCTACATACCACCCCGTTATCAACATATGTGGGCGTGTCACAACTCAAAGGGATCCACTGGCGCGGGCAACGCAGAATCGGAACATGCAGTCGTCGCGAGTGGGCGCCACTGCCCTGGCAGCAGTTGTCGGTGCTGCACTTTTCTGCTCTCCAGGAAGCTTCGCAGCGGACCCTCTCGCGCTCTCTCTCCCTCTCTCGTTCTTCTGTTTGTTGTGTCTCGCTCTCTCTCTCTCTCTCTCTCTCTCTCTCTCTCTCTCTCTCCCCCCTCTTCTGTTCCTTTATGTGTTGTGCTAGTTGTTTGTTTTTTTGTTTCTCTCTCTCTCTCTCTCTCTCTTTCTCTCTCTCTCTCTCTCTCTCTCTCTCTCTCTCTCTCTCTCTCTCTCTCTCTCTCTCTCTCTCTCTCTATATATATACTAGAACCACGCGCGCGCTTCGCGCGCGCTTAGGTTCTAGCCGTGGCCAAGGAACTCGACGACGACGACGACGACGAAGGAAGCCGACGACGACGACGACGACGACGAAGGGCGTCGACAAGGCAACCGCGACGGTGAAGCGCCCGCCAAGGCTTCGCAAATCCGAGAGGGCTGTAGGGTGGCGTGCTGTTCGCGTGCGAGCGACAGAAATCATACAACGTGGCATCATTGGGCCTTCTTGGCGGCACACTTGGGGTTTGTTGGGACTCGTTTGGGGCCCTCGAAGGCAGTCCTGCTCCTAGGCGGTCTTTGGAGGCTGGGGCCGTTTTGGGGTTCTTTGAAACCGTCTTGGGGGGCTTTTGTGGCTCTGGGCCTTCTTGGGAGCCACATGGGCTCTTCTGAGGTTGTTGTTCTTGGGCCGTCATCGGGCTGTCGTGGTGTTCTGGGGACCGATTCGGGGCCGGTATCGGGGAGCCCTTGGGGGGCCTCTTGGAGCCTCTGGGGGCTTCTTAGTGCATCCTTGGAGCCTCGTGGGGTAGAACACCGGAATGTTCGGCTCGTTGTCTCCTTCTTTGGCCTCTTGGGGCCGTTTTGGGGCTCTCTTGGGCTCTGTTGCTGCTTTTTTCCCCCTCCTCGTTTTCCTCCCCCTCCTCCTTCTCGTCCTCCTCCTCCTCCTCCTCCTCCAATTCCTTCTTCTTTTTATTTTTCATCTTCTCACCCTCATCCTCCCGCCGCTTCTGCTCTAGCTCTCTCTCCAACTGCTCCTCCTCCTTCTCCTCCTGCTCCTCCTCCTTCTCCTCCTGCTCCTCCTGCTTCTGCTCTAGCTCTCTCTCCTCCTGCTATCTCCTCCTGCTTCTCCTCCTGCTCCTCCTGCTCCTCATGCTTCTCCTCCTAGCTCCCTCCTTCTCCTCCTGCTCCTTTTCCTCCTCCTCCTCCTCCTCCTCCTCTTCCTCCTCCTCCTCCTTCTCCTCCTCCTCCTCCTCCTCCTCCTCCTCCTCCTCCTCCTCCTCCCCCTCCTCCTCCTCTCGTTGGAAACATCCTGTCGCCCCCAGCGCGGGGAGGCAGTGTGGGCCTGCTCAGTGAAGGAAGTATCCATCCTGGAAAGATATCGGAAGCTCAGAAGCCATGTAAACCAACCTGGGACACTCTCAAACGCTTCTCAGGCCGTCCCAAAACGCTGGGCATGTCAAAACAGGATCGTCTCGGGGCTCTCTCGGCTCGAAAACGAGCCCGAAGATGGGGCCGAGTGCTCCCAGAGATCTCCGGGAACTAGTGCCTCTTCCTTTTCCTCCTTTGATCCCTCCTCCCTCTCCTTCTGCACGTCCTCCTCGTCTCCCGCACACTACGGCTCGCAACTCGAACGGGTCGCGCCGAATAGGGGCTTCAACCGACGGCCCCCGGCAATGTTCGCATTCGATTTACCTGGAGTCGACACCCCTGACGCGGGTTTGGCTTGGCCCACCAGAAGATCCACCTAGCTCCAGAGATCAGGTTCGCGTAGCATCTTGGATGCCTTTCTCGCCGGCGCATAAGAACCAAATTATGAGTTTTTTTTTCGCTTGGACACTCTGGGGGGTGGTCCAGGCTCCAGAGGCCCAGAGCCCGCCGCCGCGAACGCGCCAGACGCCGAAAGCACATAGTTTGAAACGCCCTGCGGCACTGAGCAACGCTTTCAATCTGCCTCCGTATTGGGAGCGCGCTGGCGGAGCACAACAGGCGCAGGAAAAACATGACAACGCCTGGGCATTCGAGGCAAACGGATCATGACGGCTTGGAGGATTCGCCAGGGGCGGGCTGGCCCACAACAGGCTGGCCGACAACGGGCTGGCCGATGGCGACCTGGGGCAGCCGCGCGCTGGCCGACTGGATCTCGGGCAAGCAGCTTTGGCAGCACAAGCGCGCCATGACACACAAGTTGACGGTGGCGCAGACGATCGCGGCGATGCTCAGAGCCGGGTGAACCAGCCTCACCAGGCGAAAGACTCTAGGATCACCACCTGTATCCACAACTAACGTGACGGCGTTCATGACTACACCTAGTCCAACCATTACGTAGAGCGGCGTGTCCAGGTGCAGGAAGCAATTGCACGGACAACATTGGCCCACTTTCTCGAGTCCCTCGCAGCAACACGGCGCGCAGATCCGGGACGCAGACATGACGATGGCGGTCACGAGGATGATATAGCCAGCCGCGCTCCCCAGGATGAGATAGGTCGCGGCCTCTCCATCACCCATCCCTTCATCATCCTGTTCGGCATTCCCCGCGATGAACAGCAAGACGTTGATGACGAAGCACAGCACAATGAGGCCCAAGTATACCCCCTGCGCCAGTACGGATGTGGCAAGGCAGACGCAGCACGCCGGGGCGGGATGGCCCATGGCGGCAGGCGCCCGCACAGGCAGCGGCCCTTTGCTCGCCCACCTCCGTGAGCCTTGAGCCAAACTGGCTACGGGAACCAAGTTATGAGCTTCTTGGGGAGCCTCTTGGGAGGTGCGTCTCGGAATGTTTTGGGGAGCCTCTTGGGGCCTCTGGGGAGCCTATCGGCGCCTCCTGGGGGCTCTTGGAAGCGCGCGCTTAGGTTCTAGCCCCCCCCCCTTCATTCTCGTCCTCGTCGTCGTCCCTGCTCGGTCTCCTCATGCTCCTGCTCCTGCTCCTGCTCCTCCTCCTCCTCCTCCTCCTCCTCCTCCTCCGCGTGCTCTTCGTCGTCCTCCTCCTCCTCCTCCTCCTCCTCCTCCTCCTTCTCCTTCTTCTCCTCCTCCTTCTCCTCCTCCTCGTCCTCCTCCCCTCGCTGGAAACATCCTGTCACCCCCAGCTCGGAGACGCAGCGTGGACCTGCTCAGTGAAGGAAGTATCCATCTTGGAAAGATATCGGAAGTTCGGAAGCCATGTAAGCCGACCTGGGACGTTCTCAGGCGCTTCGCCTGGGGCATTGATGTGGCCCCATCGAGGCCCTCTTGGGTGCAGTCTGGGTCCCCACGGGGACTCCAAGATGGCAGGAAGAGGGGCCCTAGGTCGGTGACGCGGGCGCTCTGTCGCGTGACAACTGTCCGGGCCACCTCGGAACTCTCTTGGGGCGCTCTCGGGGCCCTCTTGGGGCCTTCTTGGGCGAGTCTCGGGCCCCCGAGGTGAGCGAAAGAGAGGCCCAAGGTCGGTCACGCGAAAGCTCTTTCGCGTGACCGATGTTGGCCATTATTGGAGCCCTCGTGGGGGCAAAGGAAGGCCTCCTGGAGACCCTGTTGGGTGTTCTTGGTGACCTCTTGGGGCTCTTTTAGGGCCCCTGGCCCTCTCGAGACCCTCTTAGGGCAATGTCTCGCTCCCACTGGGATTCCAAGATGACAGAAAATGCGGCCCAAGATCGGTCGCGCGAGCGCTCTCTCGCGTGACCGATGATGAAGACTTCTTGGAACCCTCTTGGGGCGTTCTTGGGGCCTTCTCGGGGCCATCTTGGGCTTGTCTTGAATCTCGAGGACTGCCGAAAGAGAGCCCATGGCCGGTCACGCGAGCTCTCTATCGCGTGATCTATGTTGGGCACTCGTGGATCTCTCTTGGAGTCTTAATCGGGCCCACATCAAGACCCTCTTGGGGCCATTTCTGTCCCCTACTGGAGCTCCAAGATGGCCGACAAAACAACCAAAGCTCGGTCACGCGGGAGCTCTTTCGCGTGACCGCTCTTGGGATCGCGTTTAAAACCCCCTGCTAAATTGGCCCAAGCTCGTTCACGCGAGCGCTCTTTCGCGTGACCGATGTTGGGACGGTCTTGGGGTCCTCTTGAACCCCTTTGGGACTCTCTCGCAGGCCCTGATGGGGCCACCTTTGGCTCGCATCGGCGCTCCAAGATTGCCGAAAAAGGGGTCAGTGAAGGAAGTATCCATCTTGGAAAGATATCGGAAGTTCGGAAGCCACGTAAGCCAACCTGGGACGTTCTCAGGCGCTTCGCCTGGGGCATTGATATGGCCCTCTCGGGTGCAGTCTGGGTTCCCACTGGGACTCCAAGATGGTGGGAAGAGGGGCCCTAGGTCGGTGACGCGGGCGCTCTGTCGCGTGACAACTGTTCGGGCCACCTCGGAACTCTCTTGGGGCGCTCTCGGGGCCCTCTTGGGGCCTTCTTGGGCGAGTCTTGGGCCCCCGAGTTGAGCGAAAGAGAGGCCTAAGGTCGGTCACGCGAGAGCTCTTTCGCGTGACCGATGTCTTCTGGGAGCCTCCTAGGCCGTCATGGGAACTTCTACGCGATGACAGCCCAACAGGCGAACATACGATAAATATACGTTTTCCCACAGGAATGAAACGATGTTGGCTCCTTGCGGCTCTCTTTAGAGCCCTGTTGGAGGTCGCCTGGGGTGTCTTGGAGGCTTCGGAAGCTAATCTTGGAGACCATGTTGGGCGTCTGGCAGCGATTTTCGGACGCCCTGGGTCTGTTTGGGAGTTTCTTGGTGTTTCCTTGGCGCCTTCTCGCAGTCTTCTGTGAGGCTTTCGGGCTCCCCGAGATCCCCGGAGCCCACGTTTGCGAACGTCTTGGACCCTTCGTGAGCCGTACCGACAGCGAAAAAAAGCAATGTGTTAAAAATGTATGGTTTACAAAGAGAATGAAGCTATTTTGGCCGCTTGAAACTGTATTGGGGGCCCTATTTGGTGTCGCTTGGAATGTCTTGGGGACTTCTGAAAGTGTCTTCGAGGCCATGTTAGGCGTCTAAGAACGACCTTCACAGGGAAAATGAGCCCCGGAGCCCACATTTGCGGTCGAGGTCCCGGCCCCGGGCCCCCGGACCCGGTGCGCCGTTATATGTGTGTATATATATATATATAGATTCCTATTAAATGTTTCGAACAACTGCGCAGACTATGATGGGATTGCTCTCGCTTTGGCGACGCACACGTCCATTTCAAACGACTGTAGCAACTAAACGGATGGAGGGCAGGTGCTTTTCAAATATGGCTCTCGCCTGGTAGCTCCTGACGATGCCTATCCGTGCAATACGAGATCTCCAACATTCACAAATGGAATCGGAAGTTGAGGGGGGGAGATCGCAGTGGAACGGAGAGCCCCCCCACAAAGAAATCGGTTTCGATTTCGGGTTCGCCCTCCGGTGGGCCAGCGTGACCGGGGTTGTCCCGCCGTGGTGTCCCGCCGTGGTGTCCCGTCCGTGTCCCGTCGGTGTCCGCCGGCGGTGGCAGGGGGCGTCCCACCGTGGTGTCCCGTCGGTGTATCATCGCAATTGTCCTCACTTGGTTCTTTTACCCCAAACCTCCTTGTCACCCGAAGGGTGGCCGTATAGGTACGTCCCTCGTCAAAATCTAGCTCTCACATGAGATTTACGTGCACTTGAACCCATATGAGGCCGTCTTGGGACTCTCTTGGAACTCGCTTGAGCCGACTTCGGGCCCTCTTGGGACTTTTGGGCTGTCTTGGGGCTGTTCTGGAGCAGTCTTTGGGCTCTTTCAGGCTATCTTGCAGCGATCTTGGGGGTCTCTTGGGCCGTTGTGGAAATTCTGAATCCTAGACAGGCGAATCGGTGTAAATCACTGTACACCTGAAGGAGTTTGATGGTGTTTGCCTTGTCGGAGCCCTTGTAGTGTCCTCTTGAGGCTAGCGAAGGCCTCCTTGGGGGCATCTGGGGCTGTCTTGGGGGCGCGGGAGCCACCTTCGGGCCGTTGTGGGCCGACTTGCAATATATACCGAGGCATCTTGGCAGTCTTGGAGGCCATCTTGGCCATCTAAGAAGCCATGTAGGACCGTATTGGCTGTCTTGGAGGCCATCTTGGATCGTCTGGGAGACTGGCCAGGTCAAGACGGGACCCAGATAACGTGTCCAAATCAGGGACACACTTGCTTACCGCCACGTCATATATGTCAACGGCATAATCCTCATAACGTATTCCTCATGATGATTCGGGAAATTTTTGTTCGACGACACGACGGGGCTCGCCTCCTAGCGCCACCGCCTCAGGCGCATCTTGTTGGTCTTCTTGTAGTGGCCCTTGTACGACGGGCGCAGCTTGCTGGCGCGCTTTCCCTTCTTGAGCAGGCCGCGGGCCTTGCGGCCCGCCGCGGTCAGTCCGCGCAGCTCGCGGTGCTTCATCACGGCCTTGCAGATCCAGTTGAGGCGGGGGTCGTCGCGCACGCACTTGTGCATGGGGTCGACCATGACGACCTCGAACCACTTGTACGTGGAGTCCTGCGCGACCCAGTAGGAGTTCAGCACCCGCAGGCTCGAGAGCTTGCGGCCCGCCCGTTCCTCGGCGATGCTGCGCAGGTTGCGCACCGTCTTCCAGTGCTTGACGCCCTGGTTCGTCGGCTTGCCGTAGACGATGCCCTTCGCCACGCGCTTCTTGCGGTCCCCGCGCTTGACCCTGACCCGGTACACGAGCACGCCCTGCTTCGCCTTGTAGCCCAACCTGCGAGCCTTGTCCGGGCGGCTCGGCCGCGAGCAGCGGTGCAGGGCGGGGAGCTGGCGGAACTCCCACGTCCTCAGGCGCGCCAGGAAGCGCATGACATCCGACTGCTTCTTGCGCCAGAGCTCCTCGAGGTACTTGTATGCGCCCATGATGGTCCAGGCGCCCCTACGGCACGCGCCGCGCAACCGAAACTTTCTGGCTCGCCAAACTCCCGCGGCCCCTGGGAGATCCTGGGACAGAATGGCTGCGGAGAGGAGCCCGCGCAGGCAGCCACGGAACCCGTGGGCGGCGGCCAGAACGGGGCCACACGGATCTGCCTGGCGCAGAGGCGTGGCTCGAGCGATTGGGCCAGGCTGGGTCGCACCGGGCCCGAGGCCGTCCTGCTGCACGTGCTCCGCTGCTCTGCTCTGCTCCTCCTGCCTCGCGGGCCACCTGGGCGGCGCTCACGCACCGATCCGGCTCGAGATATGCCGCGTGACGACGCTGACGAGTTCCTTTTGCGACTTCTTTGATGTAAGTATGGAAAAGAACTCTATACACCGACGCTTTTCCCGACCCTGCGCTGAAATTCGCACAGGAACGCGGATTCTGGTGTATACGGGATCCTGGTGTATACATTTTTCGTTGTTTTCCCGGGACATCGGGGAAAAAAGTATACACAACACCACCCCAGCGTCGTCCCCGACCCTCAAAAAGTCCTGGGATTCAAGAAACAGCCCGCCACTGGTAATGTATACGTTCCAGTTTCCGAGTGAGGACACCACACGCTCAAACTTACAGGGAAGAGGACGAGGTGGGCATGGGCAAGGCGGTGAAGGGGTGAAGGCGCAGTAGGTATCGGTGCAAGTTGTGTGAGACCAGGTACTGCGGGTGGGCTCCCGCTCGAGCGGGGACCCCCCTCCGACATCTCGCACCTGTGGCCCTGGCGGCATTCTGGCCCCGAGATTCGCAGGTATGTCTGGATGACATGGGCGTGAAGGCTGGCGAGACGCTCTTCACCGTGTCGGATCTCGGGCACCCGTGGAGCCCGCTCCCACTGCTGCTCCTGTTGCTGCCGCCCCAGCCGTCTGTCGCCGCCTGCGCTCCTCTTTCAGGGCCGCGGGCTTCTGTTTGCGCCGGGCGCGGGCGCCAGGCGCCAGCGTCACCCGAGCTGGGCGTAGTCGTCGTAGCCGCCCGACCTCCCGACCTGCCCGAAGACCGACGGCGGGGCGTAGGAGCTGACGCCCCTGCCGCCGTAGCCGCCGCCCGGCCACCTGCGGGAGAACGGACCGCGGTCGAAGCATGGCCACAAGTTAACGGGCGAAGAACGGTATAAAATAATTTGTTTCGCCGTCGGGGACACCTGCCCCAGGGCGGCTGGAAAGTTTATACCCTTACGGTGGCACCGTAGAGGTATAGACTTTCCAGCCGCCCAGGGGCAGGTGTCCCAGACGGCTAAAAAGTTTAGTTGATACCGTTCTTCGCTCGCTGAACAAGACCGTGGGCCAAGAGCACCAGCCCCGTCGTCGAAGGCGGAAGGCCCAAAATACCACCAAAGCAATCAGACTCCAAGGCAGAGTGTCTAAACGAAGAACAGACGGGTACCCCTGCAGAGCTATTTCGGGTTGCTTTTAGCCTTCATTCGTTTCCTGACGATTTGCGTACTTTGCCCATACATCTACTGGCTCCTGGCAGCACGGATTCCCGCAAGCTGCCCAAGAGTCTCCCTTTCGCCGATGTGGCTTTCATTGCCTGGGTTGTGGGCCTGCCGTGGCTGATAATCGTGCGCAGAAAGACAGAGAGCACCGTTCTAAGACGTGTCCGCTGACCCCCGCTTGCCGAGGGTGCCAAGGCGTGTGAGATGATTGGCTGTGCCCCCCCCCTTCCCCCTCCCATGGGGTCATCGACGCTCCCCTGGGGTTTCTGGAGTCTCCGTTTCTACACCCTGTGGTCTCCAAAATGCCCACTCATCGACCTACTTTTGCTCAACCACGGATCCAACACGCGCAGGAGTCCTGGAAGACGACCAAGATAGCCTCAGACTGCCCAAGAAGCCCCAAAGACGCCCCAAAAGCGCTCCAAGACGACCCCCGAGAAGACCCTAAGAAACAATAGTCATCCAAATCCTCTCGGAAACGTACAAGTTGACCATATTTGCATCGCCAGAGACTGCGCAGGATGCCCTCATGATCGCTCCAAGACGGTCCACAAAGTCCCCAAGAGGACCCAAGACAGCGGAAGTGGCTCCCAAGGCGGCCCAAGAAGCGCACAAGACGGCCCAAGAGAGCCCCAACGAGGGGCCCAATCTAGACAACTCGAACTGACATTCCGAACCCTGGTCCCTAGCCAAAAGGACCCCCGAAACCGCCAGCAGGCGCCCAAGAAACTTCCAGAAAACCGGAAGAATCACCCATAAGGTCCCCAAGAGGCCCCCAAATGCCCCCCCCCAACCCCCAAAAAGCATCACCCATTGACTCATCCCTCTTCTGGGGGCCGGAATGGCGTAAGCCTTCGGCGTTTCCCAAAATTCCCCAGGACCCTTGGGCCCCTCCTGCAGAATATCCCGGAGGATTTACCGTAGTAGCTGGACGGCGTCGCTTAAACAGCGCGGCTAGGCGAACGCTCCACAAATATATTAAATATCTGATTCAGCCAAAACGGTCGCGCTAATGCACCCACTGGCATTCACTCTGCATCCCCATCGGCTGGCACAGCGGGGAAGACGTCGGTAATGCAATTCGGCAACTATGGATCGATGTGAATTCACTCGCTTGTGCGCCCACCGTGCCAACGGGAATACCAGTTAAACTCGAGTGCGCGTAGCACTCGGAACAGTTAAGAGCGTTGCTGGAAATTTTTGCCGAGAGAGCTGGCCATTGCATGACTATGGCAGGCTTCGACTTTATGCGCCAGCACTCTCCTTAAACAAATCAGAAATCTCCACATGCACGCGCAACTCAGCTGATCACGCCCACGAGGCAATGAGAAGAGGATGAGAGAAGGTCCGATATCGCGCATGAAGTCCCAACGCAGAAGTGCTCAGGTGAGCTGCCCGGTGGCTCGACAATCACGAGCGCCTCGGGAGCCGCGAGGCCGCCCTCCCCGCCTGCCTCTGCGCGGCATGGCGGCCCAGAATGCTCGAACGGCAACGGGGGCTGCGGCGCTCCTGGCTACTCTCCTCAACGTTAACCCAGCACCCCCGACCCCTCTGACGAGTGGTAGAAACGACGCGGGGATGGCAAGTGCCTAGGGCTGCCCAGTTAGACGCGCCCGGCGCGCAGATGCAGGGCGACAGAGGGGCTCTTCTTGGCGCCGAGGCGATCGCAACCACTCTGCGGGTCAACGAACCAGCGCTGCCCGCTAGTAGCCCGCTGGTCGAAATCGCGCGACGCGTGCCGGGCCTGCAAATAAAGGCTCTCCCGGCGCTTGCGTTCACGGCCAAGCGCATGGCGACGGCGAAAGTCCCCCCTGCTATTGCCGCGCATCTTGCGTTTAAGAGTCGGGGTGGCGGCAAGCCAGGTGCTGCGCTACTCCCATGGGCGCTGGTCCAAGTTAAGTCGCATCTCATGCTCGTTAAGACTATGGTAATGCTGACTAGGGTGCCGCTTGTAGCAAATAGGGAGCCCATGCGCCAATTTAGTGAACATGTTCGCGAGCTCCTCGGCGATGAACATCGCGGCCGCCGTGCCGTTTGAGATGTCACCGTGGTTGGTGCTGGAACCTTCGGCAGGGGTGCTGGCGGGCACGGCGGCGCAGTTGCCCGGCTAGCGCATCCCGAACCACGTTAACAACATTGTGACGTGCTCGAAGTTCTGCATCTCGGGTACCCGTCGACGCAGACCTGAGCGTCGGGCACCGATGCGTCTTGGAAGAAGGCGCTGTTCAGCCTGTCGTTGCTCGCAATGCTGCGGCGATTCTGGCGTGAGCGACTGCGCGCGCGTAACCTCGTCGACCCAGCGCCCGCGCCCCGTCTTGCGGCGAGTTGGGAGAGCGTCGGAACAAGTGCAGGGCGTTTAGGAAAGCCCAGCGGTAACGGGCCATTAGCGCGGCGGCCAGAGACGCGCTCGAACGTGAGATGATGGTTGACGCCGTAGCGGTTGAAAGCCCCCCCCCCGCATCTTAAAAATGGCCCGCGCTCGGCGCTGTCGCGCCAGTCGCCGGGCCAGTCGCGCCAGAACTGCCCGACAATCTTGGAAAGCCAATGAAAGTCCTCTGGCTCGGCCCGGCGGCCGTGAAATTCGCCCCTCACTTTGGGCAACTGCGAGTCTTTAGCGCAGGCGAACGGCGGGCGGTAAGTGGGCCGCCCGATGATGCTCCCCGCCAAGATGTTAACCTCTCAGATTTCCCGGCTGCCGAGGCCGTCCATGATGTCGGCGTCGCGCTCGTCCTCGGCCCAGCGCCCTTGCCGATCCCCGTGCTGCAGCGGCAGGTTGAGCTGGCTGATTTGGCCCGCAAATCCCGCTGGCTCCGCCGAGCGCGGGGGCCCCCAGGGGGGCGGTGGAACCCCCGCCGCCGCTGCTGCTGCCCTCGGTGGCGGCTGGCCTTGGAGCTGCTGGGGGAGTGGGCGGAACTGCCGGTGGAACGGGCGGAGCGGCGATCTCGTTGCGAGACGGCCGACGCTGCGCGAGGCGAAGCTCGGCACCTTGAATGGGAATGGGCCTTGTCTCCGGCGGAAGCCTCGGTAAATCAGCGCGGCGCTGAATCGCGGGATTGCGCAATGTCTCGGCCGCATCAATCAACCGATCGGTAAGGACATTCCGAAGGACTCCCGCCTTGGCCTTTTAGTCCAGATGCGTGGACTCTGGCAGACAATCGTCGATCGCGCCCTGCACCTCCACCGCCCGCGCGCAGCGCGCCTCGATGTTACCGGCAGCCCGCTGATACTACAAGGCGTGCTCATCCTCCGTGATGCTCGTTGACTCGCTATGGGCCTCCACCTGCGCGTTGAGGTCTTCGTCGCTGTCATGGCTGCGGCGAGCTGGCTGGCCAAGTTCCCCTTCTGCTCAAAGAGCTCAGCGCTGGCGTGACTGAGGTCCATGGGCCCCCCCAGTAAATTTGTCGCGCTCCTTGATGCGGCCATCGCTAATAAGACGGGACTGCTGGCGCATGGCCCCCGCCTCATTGCGGCAATGCGTCATGGCCGCGTCGGCGTTCTGTGCCAGAACGGTGGCGCTCTTGCGAACGGCCTCGGCGAAGGCGATGAGTTCTCGCACGTGGCGTGCCACTTCGCTAATAACATGGCCCTGCGCCGCGCGGCGCGGCGCGGCGTTGACCTCGCGCCCATCGATCGCGATGCGAAGCGTCTCCTGGGCCATCGCTGATCAGACCCGCGGGGGGGGGAGGGGGGATCGCAACTTTATGGCGCCCCTTGTCTGGCTCTCTCTTACAACCGCAGTTGGCGCACTTCAATGTGTCTCACTTTACCTACCCCTCATGGCCGCAGTGGGATGACTCTTTATGATCATATTGCATTCGACTCCAAAACCCGTCAACGCTGACTGCAGCAATCCTAGACCAACTGACGCTCCTGTCGCGGACGATAATGCGATCGCGCTCTGTGTTGTGCTCCAAGGTGTAATCAAATGAGATCGCCACATCACTACTCCTCCACTCGTTGAATTCACCTGGCTTGTCCTGATACTGGTAGGAGGTCACATAACCGATCGTGCGTCTTGCGGCACCTTCCAAGTTGAATCGCGCCCACTGTAGGATTCGCCGCACGCCTGGCGAGCCCTTGAACCGAGAGCTGGATGTCCGATCGGCCCCGAGCTAGGGGCACTCGCCCCGCCAGTCATGGCCTGGAACTGCTTGGCCATGCGCGGCGGCAGCTCCTCCTCATCTCCTTCATCCACTGGTAACTTCCCCCCTGACACTTCTGCCACTACCTGGCTCTCATGGAATCCTGGCTCCTTCGCGATCGCCTTCGCGTGCCTCTGATCTGCCCCGTGCCATCGACCAGTACGCGCCCCTTCTACAACTATGTTGAGCATCCCGTTCGCCCCCCCCCCCCCCCCCCTCAGCCCCCCCCCCCCCCCCCCGGCGCCTTCGCCTCGCGCTCCCCCTTATTTCTCTTGCGAAGCAGCCGAGGTCGAGGTCGCTGCCTAACGCGGCGCGGTCATCGCCGCGCACCGTGAACCAGATCCTCCTCGCCCTGTGTTTGAATGCGCACAGCGACGCCGCGCCACTGGCAAAACCATTTGGACTTGCGAAGTCCATGTAACAATCCCCCCATTTACTGGCGGCATCTCTTGTCCCATGCATGGATTTAATGAGCCTGCCGCGCACGCCTGGCTCGTCGTCCACCTCGGGCGGTTTCGCGAAAATTCATTGTTTTCCCGCGGCGCATAAAAGCGAGCTCGCTTGACATTGATGAACCCGAACTTGAAACCTTTCCCGCGTTCATCTTGGTTGAACCCGATGTCCTCTGTCATTGCCATCGAGAACAATAACTTCTGGCCCCCCCGTGGAGGGGCTGCCGCACATGCGGCGGTTCCATCGGTTTGAATTTAACATGCTGGGCCACCAAACTGGACCTGTGATCGGGGCTGCTTGCATCTCCTTTGTTAGCATCAATTCACCTTGTGCCGATCGGCCCCGTGCCGCGACTGCCCAGCGCGCATCCCCCCGCGCTCTCTCAGAAATTCCACGTTTACTGAACTGTTCCACTTCCTCCTGTCGGGCCTTGCGCGCTAAGTTAGAGGCGAGTTCACGTCCGCTGGCGCCGCCCCAAACATGCGCTTGGCCGCCCACTTGACAATGAACAACACACACGAAATTCATCTAATGGGCTCGGCGCCCACACGTTCACCGCGCGCCTCGCAGGCGCCTGCAACTTTCATCCATGCAATATCTGAACCCTCTGAGCATTCCCACTTGCACGGTTTGACTTCTCCGACTGCCTCGCGAGTGAAGGTCGTGCTGATGCTTCAGCTTTTCCCTTGTAATTCGCGCCTCCGCTCGTGCCCTGTGATCAAATCCAGTGACCGGTCCTCTATAACGCGGCCACTGTCCAGTTCTGCGGCGACGCTGCTGACGCGCGGGCTCCGCGGCGGTCAATTCGCACCCGGTTGCACGAGGCAGGTCGCCCCGAGATCTCAACGTGACCGCCCCAGCTGGCACTTGGGGCTTTTGTTGACCATGCCCCAATTCATCTCGTTAGTCGCCGCGTCTCCATCCTCGTCGTCACCTTCCATGGCCACCTGCTCGTCGCGTCTGCAAGAGCGTCCAATCCGCTGTGAGCTTCCATCTGTTTGACCAGTCCGTCAAGCATGGCATTGCGCAGCTTATCTGGATAAATATCAGATTGTCTGGTTCGATCGTTCGA